AATCATCTCTGTGAGCTGTCAGTGCTATATCGTAGGCAACTGCACCTGCTTGTGTCTAGTTGCCTACGATATAGCACTTATGAGTACCATAAACTGGATGACTAAGAATCTTCACCAACATCTTTGGGAGCTATTGTTGCCCAGCTCAGGCAATCCTTTAGTTTGTTCTTCAAGGCACAGACAGTCAAGGCTACCTAGTCTTAATGCAATGAGGACATTATTTGTGTACTGCATTGGTACATCCAAACACAGACAGAATTTCAAAAGTGTGTCTCTTATCAGCTCGGTCCATGTCTGATCTGTACAAATCAGCTTCACTATAACTCGCAGCATTCACAGACAAACACTTGTCTTCATCTGGACACATTTTCCCCACAAATACAACATGCTAAAGTTATTAGCACAAGCCTATGGCATTTTAACTGTATAAATTAGCCTCGCGGCTATCAGACTTTTCCTCTACTCATATGAAGCCAGGGACAACAGCAACATTTAACAAAGGTAACGTTACAAAATTCGTCTCCATTGCAACTCACAAGATTCACCAACAAAACAACTGTCTTATACTAAACACGTTTTTCACTAATAATATAACATGCTAACGTTATTAGCACAAGCCTATGGCATTTTACATTGTATAAATTAGCCTAGCAAATAGAGAAGATTTCCTCTGCTCATATGAAGCCAGGATAAATCACACACAAGACTTAAAATGCTATTTTTGTGGAGGCTTTATTTTCTTCACAATTTACTGTATTATTATCTGTGAAATTAAACTAAATAAAAGCTTTGTTTCCACTGAGGGAAATGGTTTCATCTTACAGAAATAGACAGGAGGTCTGCGTCGCTGCTATTTGTAGTTACATATCTGGGGACATTGAAACGTTACCTTTGTTAAATGTTGCTGTTGTCCCTGGCTTTATATAAGTAGAGGAGATGTCTGCTAGCCATTAAGCTAATTTTCTACAATCGGGAATCGCGGAGAAAATCCACAGAGAAGAACAGGTGTTAATTTGGACGCACTATGCGTTGTTCGGGCGCTCTCTAGGCATAACGTCCATGGCGCAGCTCGCTGAGATACGATATAAAAATATTTTTGCATGCGTGCCCTCGCCCACAGTATTTTACTCAATATGCGTGAAACCAAAGGTAAAACTAAATGTTGAAATAGCAGTAAAACCACATTCATTGAAAAAATGACACAAGGGATGGATAGGGGGGATGGCAGTTTTAGAAGGGGGATGATTTTGACAGTTTTTATTTCAAGGGGGATGCCAACCCCCCCTCATCCCCCCTCATCTCGTGTACCGCATGCAGGTGCAGGGCTGTTGTGGGTTTGTGAACTGGACCAATGCAAAACTCTGAGACACACCACAGAAGCAAATTAGCATATTCCCAGACTGATCGATGAGCATGCAGTATAAAGAGGGCCTCTGTTAAGGTTACTCTGCTCTGGTGAAAAAGGCTCAACACAACAGAGACTACACTTCCTCAGGACGCTGAGGACGACCAACCTTCTCTCTTAAAATGACTTGTGTGTTTCTACCACTACCATGGCCTCGCTGCCACAGCAGAGCCTGCAGGATTGTTAGAGACAGTAATCACCCCTTTCACCACCTGTTCACACTGCTGCCCACAAGAAGATGCCACAGAAGAAGAGCCCTGAAATGCCGCAACTCCAGGCTTAAGAACAGTTTTCACCCCAAAGCCATACACAACCTGAACTCTCTCCCCCAAATCCCCCGCCCTCACCCACCACCACCACAACAATTTTCAATTGCACCACCACGCACAGATGTCCACTAACTGCATATGCACTTTATCTTGTCCTTTTATAATTAAAATTATAGCCTTATCCTGTTTTAATGTGTGGGTATATGAGTGAATGGAACAGCTTTTCTTTTATGAGAGACAGCTAATTTTGTCATATAAAGGCGTTAATTAATTAATTCATTATACATTCACAGTTTCAAAAAAAATGTATCAAGGCCCAGACAACCACCTTCACCTTCAAACCAGCGGTTACCGCAAGACCACTGACACTCCGACCCACCTGACAGAAGGTGTTTCAGTCATGCTAATGCCTTGATAATACAGAAATTTCAATACAATAACAAATCAGTCTTATAACAGGAACCAAAGGGGGAGCAATGCAGCCACAAAGCCACACTGAGTCTCACACCTTGGGTTCCTGCACCCCCACACTCCCTGCTATAGCATTCAATCATCTGCTGATCCCTTTGTGCACGACCGTATTTCATCCGACCAGCAGTGACCCTCAGTCCCTGTTCCTCATTCATCTCCCTCCCACCTTAACCGCCATTCCAATAAACTAATTAGCTTACTTGAATAATGTCCTTTGCTTGTGAAAGCTCAGTTAAATACCAACTCTCATTTAAATGGCAAAACCAACTGTGTAACAGTTTCACTAGTGTGGCCTTCAGCATCTTAATACTGGTCAGTGACCTCAGTTTCCCCCCCTCACAGAAGGCCAGCAACTGGTCACACAGAACATCTTTTTCTATTTATGTATGACACTTAAGGCTTATTTTCTCTTTAGCCGAGGGACTTATACAGTTGCACGGTATCCCTGAAAAGATTTCTTCAGTGAAGGAAAAACGTGAGAGGTTTTACAGCGGTAAAAGCTTCCATGGAAATTGTTTGTTTGTCTGGACTTATGGTTAGTGAAAAACCGCAGAAGATAAGAAAAGCATGTTGATCAGAGGAGGAAAAGATTAAACTTCTGGAAGAATACAATCATAGAAAGCACAAACTACAAAGTAAATTTGATCGCTAAATACCAGAAAACAGACAACAATCAATCAAATCTAAAGTGTAAACTTAAAAGCGTATTCATTGGGTTCTCCTAGTCACAGAACACTGTTCTCAGGGTGTGTTAGTTTTTTTCATTCATCACCATAAACTTTTTTTTTTACCCTGCTTTGATTGCTAAGGTCTTTTGTGCAACGATCAAGGGATTCCTTAAGAATAAGACCAAGACAAGGAGAAAACCATAAATACTTAAAGCCCCTACAACTTTGATTTTGAGTTGATTTTGGCGACCCTGTGGACAAAAGCGGTAGTGTTTTGCCGGAATGCAGCCTACATTTCCCATGAGCTCTAGCGCGTATTGTCGTAAAGACGCTTACCTGGCTCGTGCATGTGTTTGTTTTGGGGATGAATGAAACAACAAGACGGGAAAACTTGACGGGATCCCAGCTCACCTCTGCCGCGCCCCAGCTCCACCTCTCCGGCTTAAGCGCCATCTCCTCCGGGGTAAATGCAGCTGTCTGCTGGTAAGGCTGAAGGCCTGTTTGGCTAGCACTTCCATGGCTTCTTGGACTGAGTATGGAGCGGTGCCTCACCTCTTTATTTCTCGGCACTCGCTGGACCCTGTCAACGCCTGGCTGGTACCTGTCGTTGGCCCAGATGAGGTGGTAAATGCTAGATCGCTAGCAAACAAAACGTTTATCCTGAAGGATTTCCTGACTTCCCGAGGATTGGATTTTCTCTGTGTGACTGAGACGTGGCTGACTGTTGGTGAGTCCAGTGCTTTTACAGAACTTTTACCTGATGATTGCTGCTATTTTAACTCCCTGCGGACGTCTGGTCGAGGAGGAGGAATAGCGACTATTTATAAGAGTCACTATAAATGTAAGCAGCTAGGTAAGATGACGTGTGCCGTCTGAGTGCCGTAAATCGTTTCGTCCTGGAAGCAACCTGGGGCGGACCCGGAGACAGTTTCCTAAAGGTATGGATATACACTATATAGAAATAGCTTATCTTCACACCAATGGTCTCATTTGCTGTTGTAGGTCACGCACAGACATCAGCAGAAACGAGAGACTTTTGCATATCCAGTGAAAAGTTCCTTGTAGCAGCTCTAAGTGAACATTTTAAGGAAACCTGAAGGAGAAAACTTCGGCCCAGATCACACCGAAAGCTTTTTGCAGGTTGTAAAACGCGAGTCTCGCTGCACTGCCTCTCTTTTTTAATTAAATGCCACTAGTGGAAAAAAGGCTGTCAGTAAATAGTTTGTTGGGCACAGATAAACAGAGATCTGTGTGGGTACATGACACCCTAAAAAAGAGGGTGGATCATGGGGAGTACCACCAGTTGGTCCAGGAGCTTCTCCTCCATGATGGTCATTTCCAGGCATATTTTAGGATGACTCAGGGACAGTTTGACACCTGCTGTCTATCGCCAAGCCGTATAGCTCTGGGTATCCAGCAACAGCTACCACCAGTTTCTCCTCCATTGTTTACCAACTGTAAAGTTGTTGTCATGACCACCACAGAAGGCCCGCCTCTCAAATCATCAGACTGGACAATGGGGAAAAAAGATGCTGAAAAATGAGATGATGTGGGGTGTTTTTCCGCTTTGAGTTGAAGTTTTTTCAACTTGAGGAGTTCAGGGCGCTCTGACAAAAATGCCGGGTGCATCACAGCACAGGAACCACAAAAAGCTTCATTCTCATTGAAAACAATTAGAAAAAGGTGCCTCCAGCTGTTTAAATGCTTTCTGTGTGATCAGTGCCTTAACAGTGTTTTGTGCAACCACATTTATTTTAAGAAAACCTTAATTAGGTGTTTTGTGCCCTAGGAACTAAGCGGGGCTTCAGAACAGGCAATGAATAGAGATAACCACTCCAGTGCTAGTAGTAGTGAGCTAACTGCTGTGTGCTGGGACCACTGAGTACAAAGAAACATTTCTTTTTTTCATTTTTCTTGGCCCACAGGCTGGTGTTATTTAATTCACTCTGGATAACGGCAAATAGCTGCGAGAACAATGATCACATAAAGTGGATGTGCATACGCAGTGTTTCACTTACTCGAAATGGATTTTGTGTAAAATTAAGCTTTAGAATGAGAGGTGTGCATCTGAAAACTTTCGGTGCATTATCTGTTATAGAAGTGTCCAACGGAGCTGGTAAATCTCAGCATGAAGTTAAACAACACACGGTCATTTAAACATTTGTTCAAGTAGAAATAATGAATTACCACAGTTCTCCTCGTCCGCTTGATTTCCGCAGTCATCGATGCCGTTGCAGTGCATGAGCTGCGGGAGGCACATGGTCAGGTTGCCACAGGGGAAATATCCAAGGGGGCATGACGCCTTCTCCTCCGTGAGATTGAGTGCTATAAATAAAGCAGAAAATCCACAAATATGATTATGAATGTAACATTTCTGCCACTCGTCTGAGAGCTCTTGTTGAAAATTTTAGTGAACATGTGGAGTTTGTGCATCTCATTACAGAAGCCTTTGCATCCATTTGTCCAAACCTACATTAAAGGGCTCGATCAGTGCTTCAGGGAGCTTTGGTACAATCCATGATGAGTTTGCTTAATCAACACTGTTGCGTTGCTGCTGTTGTGTTTTACGACACAGTCTAAATTATGCACAGACAAAGCACAAACCGCACAGACTGACAAATGTGGGGAATGTAAAACAGACCTCACATGCCATGAAAGCTGGAGGAAAAATTATTCGTTCCCTCATCTCACTCTGTCCTTATTATAAACATTCCTTATTCAAGTGCCATGGTGAGTCTGCCTTATTGCACCTCTGGTTCAAGATACAGGAGACAGAACTGTGACAGGGCAGCTGCAGATTACACATCAGACTTATCTGGAGTCTCTGCACTGGACCCAATTAACCGCAGAGTATAATTTATGATTCCCCACGTTATCTGCGACGAACATAGCAGTCAGGCTTCAAGCTAAATTGTCGATTTATTATGACATTATGTCTCAACAAGACCCCTCACATTTTCTTAGCACTTTTCCTTAATTAGGAACTAAAGGCAACTGTGTCACATCCCATCATTATTAGCTTTACAAATGTATTCAGCATCTTCATAACTTTTTTTTATACGTTTAGTATGAGTGGAATATATGATTATTTTCTGAGAAATAAATTGAACATGTCAGTTCATATGCATTTGCCCTCCAAAATATAAAGAAGTGCTGTAAGGAGTTGGGATGCTTCAGCACACATATTTCAAGTTGATTACTTTACACTGGTAATTTGAATTATGTCACTTCATTATTTTATGAGTATCAGTGTCTAATTAGAAGGCGTACATCTTCTGTTGACAGTGAAACATCAGATTCAGATTAAATTTTAAAAGACAGTGTTTGCTAGTTTAATCATTCTGAATTTGACCCCCAGTGTTTTTGCCAAATAAATATAAATGGTCTTTATGCAACATTTATTTAAAGATGATAAACAATTCATCATCCTGCTGAGCTCTGAGAGACTGTACACTCCAACAAATTATCCACAGCGTTAGTGGATAACGCTTCAAATAAAGACATTTTTCAGCATTAAAAATTATGGTTGGTTATTTTTTTTTTAACATTTAAGTGTTTTAGTCAGTTTGCAACTTATTTTGAAAAGCTAGTCAAATAAAAAACACATTTAACATTTGAGTAGGATCGAATTAAAATAAATAAACTAGAATATCTTAAATAAATAATTTGACCACTAAATGTCACCACAACTTTCAGATAAATATTACATTGGTTCAACTTAATTGAACCTTTCGAGGTCAAAGCAATTACATGAGTAATGCTTAAATAACTGAGTTTGTTGATCATGTTATATCATTGCTGATATACACGCACTGCCCACTTTATTAGGTACACCTTGCTAGTACCAGGTTGGACCCCTTTTGCCTTCAGAACTCTCTTAACTCTTCGTGGCATAGATTCAACAAGTTGCTGGAAACATTCCTCAGAGATTTTGGTCCATATTGACATGATGACATCACACAGTTGCTGCAGAATTGTCAGCTGCGCACCCATGATGAGAATCTCCCGTTCCACCACATCCCAAAGGTGCTCTATTGGATTGAGATCTGGTGACTGTGGAGGCCACTGGAGTACAGTGAACTCATTGTCATGTTCAAGAAACCAGTTTGAGATGACTTGAGCTTTGTGACATGGTGCGTTATCCTGCTGGAAGTAGCCATCAGAAGATGTGTAGACTGTGGTCATAAAGGGATGGACACGGTCAGCAACAATACTCAGGTAGGCTGTGGTGTTTAAACCATGCTCAGTTGGTACTAAGGGGCCCAAAGTGTGCCAAGAAAATATCCCCCACACCATTACACCACCACCACCACCAGCCTGAACCGTTGATACAAGGCAGGATGGATCCATGCTTTCATGTTGTTTACACCAAATTCTGACCCTACCATCTGAATGTGGCAGCAGAAATCCAGACTCATCAGACCAGGCAACGTTTTTCCAATCTTCTATTGTCCAGTTTTGGTGAGCCTGTGTGAATTGTAGCCTCAGTTTCCTGTTGTTAGCTGACAGGAGTGGCACCTGGTGTGGTCTTCTGCTGCTGTAGCCCATCTGCTTCAAGGTTCAACGTGCTGTTGGTTCAGAGATGGTCTTCTGCAGACCTTGGTTGTAACCGGTGGTTATTTGAGTTACTGTTGCCTTTCTATCATCTTGAACCAGTCTGGCCATTCTCCTCTGACCTCTGGCATCAACAAGGCATTTTTACCCACAGCACTGCCGCTCACTCTGTAAACCCTAGAGATGGCTGTGTTTGAAAATCCCAGTAGATCAGCAGTGTCTGAAATACTTAAACCAGCCCGTTTGGCACCAGCAACCATGCCATGTTCAAAGTCACTTAAATCACCTTTCTTTCTAATGCTCGGTTTGATTTTCTGCAGGTCGTCTTCACCATGTCTACATGCCTAAATGCACTGAGTTGCTGCCACATGATTGGCTCATTAACATTTGCTTTAAAGAGCAGTTGAACAGGTGTACCTAATAAAGTGGGCGGTGAGTGTACTTTTAGCAGCACCATCATATAATTTGAGGATGTTTTTGGCCATTTCAGGCTCTTTTTGGAGAAATGGCAATGGAGGATGACACTGAACATAATGTCCCTGACTGGCAGGGGCATCGCAACAAATTCTGGGCCCTATGATTATGCAATATGATTTCTATCTCTTTCCGTTCTCTCTTTTTTTTTGGAAACCTGTCAGCAGCTCTAGCTGAGTGTAGAGACCAATCCATGTGCAGGGGTGCAGCAGACTAAACCATTTTGTGGCTTAAAGGGGTGAGAGGGGCCTCAGAGAGCTTTCTTTTTTTATTCAAAGTTCAGTCTTTTTTATTTTTGGCAGTAATTATTTAGAAATTAAAAAAACTTAAAGCAAAACTAAACCTTTTATCCAGGCCTTTTTGAGGGCCCCCCTTCACTTGGGGTTCTGGGTAATCTGTCCCACTTTGCCCCTGACCACTTCTCCTGATGACTGGACTCAAACTGGGGATGCTGAAGTTCATGGTCAGCAACTAAAACCACTAGCTACCTTGGGGTGAATAATAAAACTAACATTTGGTTTTTTAAAAAAGATTCTCTTGTCAAAAACATTTAATTTGAAGACAGTCTCTCGTATCAAGACCCTCAGATTATTCACTTTACAGAAACAGTGATAAGAGGAGAAATCCTCCATAGAGGGATGCACTACAGATGCACTACATTATGTGTGTCACAGCTGCCACATGGCGCGTTGGCTCAGAGTCATATCATTTGATTATATTCATCATGTAACCATGTGTTCAACAGCACAGTAATTACGTACTTCAGCTGTGTTAGATAATCAACGCTCAGCATGGTCAGACATGCCTCGAAGCACAATAGATGACAAAGTGAAAAATGAAGACGCTACTTTCTGCTTTTTCCACCTCCCCTGGTGTCACAGGACAGCAGCGTAAGCAGTGGCTGATTAAATGTTCTAGTTATTAGTTCGGGGAATATTGAACGTCTTCAGCCAACACTAGGTGGTAAAGTGTTTATTATTTTAAAATAACTTGCAAGTTTGCAAAAAAAAAAAAGTGCAAACAGCAGATCTGAGTTCATATTTACAAATCTGAAAATCAGCATCAGCCACTGCAGCTACATCTGTTGGGGAGTTTCATGAGTATGCTTCATTTTTCATGAAGACAGGACTGCTGGTCCTTGACTGACGGCCAAAAGTGGAAACTGTTGCTGCTGCTGTTGTCACATGCACTTAAAAAAGTGTATGTGAGGACAGTGGACCTTGCACAATATAGGATACTTGGGGTAGGCTTGGGCAGCATCTATATTTGATATCTTCCTGACATTTCACTGGGGTATACAGTGAGAGAAGAGTAAATAAATAGCACAAAAGTCCAGCTTCTGGTGATGGAAGTCATAGCAGCATGTATGTCATCCTCTAGCCCACAGTGTTGTGTTTTCTTAGGGTGCTTTCAGGCCTAGAGTTGTCTTGCTTTGGTCTGAATCAGGGACTGGTTTTGTTCCAAAGTTGTATAATTGCCTAGAGTTAGTTCGTGTTCTCACGGCAGCATTTACAAGCGGACCAGATCAAATGCCTTGTGCGAGAAAGCTGCTCTTGATTGGTCAGAATTTCCATGTGGGAAAAATCCAGGAAGTAAAGCAAACGTTGAAGAAGAGTACACTTGCAAGATAAATGTGACACTTTCTAATGTCACAATGGAGGGACAACTACGCAGGTTGATTTTAGCGCTGCTCATCTTGGACTATATTGCTGTTATTGTTCATTTTAGTCAAACCATACAGTTTGAAAACGAGGCGCGGCTCCAACTAGAAAACAATGTTTTGATGCATTGGATGTGCTGAATGTGCATATTAAGGCAGTACAGGAGGTGGTGCACATTAATAATCCTCCAGGACTGTAACATGCTCATGTTTAACCCAAACAATGTGTTATGTGACTGCAGTTGGTTCATATCCAGGTCGGAACACGTTCTCACCACAAATGAACCGCACCAGAGTTCGTTTGTAACCGGACTGAGACCACCTCTTCAAGAAGGTCTCGGTCCGGTTGTTTTGGTGCACACCTGAGTGTGATTGCAGTGTTCACACCTGCTCAAACGAACCGCACTTAGAGGGCAAACGAACTTGAGTTTGATTGAACCGAACTAAACAGGGCAGGTGTGAAAGCACGCTAAATGCAATTAGCCTACTCTGACAAGTCTTGCTGGGTTAAACATTTACGGATATATTCTTGCTGGAGGAAGCCATGACACTTATAGCTGCAGCAGACACTGACACATCAGTGGGCTAAATGGAGATGGTGTTTTGAATAAAATCATGTGGCAATTAAACTGCTTCT